AATAATGAAAGTTGTAATCCTTAATCTAAACTTTAATATTGTATTAAGAATTATATTTTTAAAATCAATATTTAAAAGGTTCATCAAAAAATACTGAAAACTTTTTTGATTAAAAAAATACTCTATTTTTAGCTTACTGTATTACAAAATTTACTAAGGTGCTCAGAATTTTGATTTTTTCTATTGCCAATTTAAGCATTTGTAAAGATACCGAATCAATTTCTTTTGCATATTTTAAAAAAGCAATCAGAGCTCTTTATTTTGCTCTTTTGTATTCTCTATAATACTACTAAATATAGGAAATAGTTAAAGCCAGGTGTGTTTATATATTTTTAATTATTTAATTGAAATTAGGGTAAAGGTTAGTTAGAAGTTAGAGCTAGAGAAGTTTTTATAAGTAAAATTATCTTTCTGACATTGTTTATTAGTGCTTCAAGACAGGTTTAGACATTTGTTTTTTGTATTTTTGACGTTTTTCACTTTTTTTCTTTGTTTTTGTCTTATCAGGCTAATCCGAGTTAATCAAATTTTATATTTTGATTGGCTGTTAGTCACATGAATGCATCTGGCTTTAAATATGTATATTGGGTTAGATATTGCATCACCAGGTAAGCCTACATAATTAGATCCTTTAATAATTAAGTTTCTTGTTATAATTTCTAATAAACATGATGTGAGTATCTTCATTACATATTTATAGAAAGTTTCTAGTAGTGTAATTGGTCTGAGAAAGTTTAAAATACAATTCCACTCAGTTATTTTAGATATTAGACAAATCTGGCTATATTTCTATTTATTTAGTATCTTTCTAGTTTTTAAATACAGGATTCAAATTTTCTAAAAATCTCTTGTATAAAGCTATTTGTCTATTTGATTAAAATATATTCAATTCCTGTTATGTCTAGTGCTATATTGTTCTTTAGTTCTTTAAATATATTGTGCTATTCAAGTTCTGAGATATCTCTCTTTAAATTTTTATATAATTTTTTTAGCCTTATACAGGTCATAATAGTATACTTTAGTTATATAAAGAGATAAAATCCCTTTCAAACTCCTATTCATTTTTTTATAAAATAGTTTTATTTTTTCTGTTTTTTTTGGAGGGGTTTTTTATTTTTATATCTTATTCTTTTTTCCTATTCTTTCTTTTATCTCCTTTTTAGTTATAGCTTGTTTTTTTTTTTATAAATTTTTTTATTAGAATAATTCTAGTTTATTTGTGAACTAGTACAATAGATTGCATTTAGTTATCTTTAAGTAACCAAATGAAGTTGGGCTTTTAATTCCTTTAAAATTAAATGTATATTGTTCTTATATATTTCAAATAAAGAGTAAGTTATAGCAAGACTATGTGAAGATTAAAAAATAATAATAATAATAATAATAAAGTTACAAAAAATTAACTAATTAGATATATGGCATCTTAGTAAAGTAGTCTAGTTATCACACTCTCTAACAGTAAAGGCTTAGATTTTATCTTTGAATTCTAGTAATAATGTTTTTAGGAGAAAATATTTATCAATGATTTTCATTGGTTGGCTACTAAATGACCATTGTATACAATTCTGGTTTAAGACTATAATCTGTAGGTAGTATTACATTTAGAGTTGTTAGTGCAAGGTACTTGGTGATACCAATAATACACTAATATAGGTAGTGCACCTGGCATGCCAAACACAGACATAGTGCAGGGTAGCAAGCCAATTATATTTAAACATTATTGAATATTATTAATTTTTGTAATTATTTTAAAAATTGTTTATTAGACAATTGTATATTGTTATAAAAAAACTAAATAAAAGAAGGCTTGGTTAAATACTAAAGTAATTAATTGATAATTCGCCAGTCACCTGGTGAAAATTTTAATGCAGATCATATATATGTAAAGCCAAATTAATATTTTAAAGTTATATGTAAAGTCAATATATACTTGCTTTAAAGTAGTACAAATTGTAGAGTAATACTATATGGTTTTGATGTTAAAAGCATTAAGCACAGAAGTTCTTCGTTAAAAATTTTACTTTGGACGCATGCGGCATTTACTATATAACATATAAATGATCCAATTTACCTTTTATTATACATTTATATTCTTTTTTTAGCTTTTTAACTTCAACCTTTTCGGATTTTCTTGTAGATTTGTACAATCTTACAAGACTTTAAAATAAACTAAAGAACTCGCATAAATAATTTTATATATGTATAATAGTTTTTTTTTTTTTGCTATACATAAAATCTAAATAGAACCTGAATCCGTAAGATTACTAATCTCTCTGTTCAAACTAGAAACCAAGCTCACCTTTTCGCTTACCAAGAAACTATGTTTTAAATGTCTAATCCAGAGTATATTATATACAGTCACGATAAAACAAGGAAAGTGAAACTTAAAATACTACATAGCTTTTGAATTTTTTGCTTTTTTTGGGTAAAGTAAGCTAAACTTTGGTTTATTTTATTTCCTACGTACAAGTTTATTTATAATAGATCTAAAGTATGTGAGCTAATTACAATATCTCAAATTAACACCTGAATTATAGTTAACTTTCCTTTAATACCAACACTAGTGATGTGGTAGAATCATTTCAATAATGATCGTAACTTGCCATAACTTGTTGTAACTATAAGTTTATAAAAAGTTATAGCAAGTTACAGCAAGTTATGATCATTATTGGGACGATTCTACTGCATCACTAACCAACACCAACGATGAAATTTTACTACCAGCAATGGCAAAATCCCAAACGGCGAAGTTCTACCAACAATAATAGTGACACCAATGACGAAATTTCACCACCAGCAATGATGACATCAACAAGACACCAATAATGAATTCTACCACCAGCAACAGCAAAATTTACCAACGACAACAGTGATACAAATGTCATTATTAATGACTCAAACCACCTGGAATAGCTACATGAATGACACAATTCACTACCTGCAAATAACTACACCAAATTATTCAAACACTTATATGGAAAAAAGAAAAAAGTATTAGTAAATGTTATTTGTACGTAGAACAGACAAAAAAAATATACTTAGCGTTAGGTGATTATCAATGATTAGTTTAGTAATATTGTTTCGAGTTAATTTTTTTTTTTATTTAATAATGCTAATTTAATTTATTTATTTACTAGTGCTAATAAAGTTATCCAAGCCATTTATATACTATATATTTTAATATACAGTAAATCATGTGATCAGATTTATTATATAGTATATAATAGCTTGGATAACCTGATACAGTATCACTGAACTGATCATCGATAATCACTTTATGCTAAGTATCTTTTTTTCATTCAGTTTATATACAAATAACAGTTACTAATACTTTTTTCTTCTTTTCTAATTGTTGTTTAAGTGGTTTGTATTTGATATATACGATTTTGTGTTGCTTTTCGCAGATAGTAAATTGTATCGTTTGTGTAGTCTTCTAGATGGTTTGTGCTGTTGGTGGTGAACTTTCGTCATTGCTAGTGAAAATTCGCTATTGTGCTAGCATTGTTTGTAGTGAAATTTGTCATTGGTGTTACCCTTGAAATTTCACCATTAATGTCGCTATTGCTGGTAGTAGATTTATTGTTGTTACTGAAGGTGGAATCTTGTTATTAATGTCGGCGGTAAAATAGTGATGTTTTGTTGTTGGTGTTGCTGTTGCAGGTAGTGAAGCATTACAGATGGCGAAACTTGTCATTGGTGCTAGTGGTTAATCATATTATAATATGGGGTCTTTGCCTTGAAAATGACCTTATGATACATGATACTGTATGGTCATTTTCAAGACAAAGACCCTATATTGTAAATATGTACATTAAAAAAATATATAAATATCAACTTTACGCATATATATATATGACAATTTTTTTTTGTGTATATTTTTAGTTTGTAAGCTTTATATATATATATATATGACAATTTTTTTTGCATATATTTATTAGTTTGTAAGCTTTATTTCATTTTCTTATAGATAAATTTTTAAGATTTTGTCAAAAATTAATCAATTAATGCATAGGTGGGCATTATTTTGCATTTGTTTTTTTTTTTAAATATTAAGGTGACCACTTAGGCCCTTGGCACTTTATTAGTACAAGTGGTAGGCCAATGTTAATT